GAGAGAGAGAGAGAGAGGGGGGGGGGTTTAACGTCCACTCGACACAAATTAGGTCATTTCGGGACTAACATATGGTTTAATTTTATTTCAATAAATCGTTTGCGCGTAGGGGTCTTTAGCAGTGGGAGGAAACCGGAGGACCCGGAGAAAACCCACGAGGTTTGACAGGCGACCCTACACCTTGTCACGTACAACCGGGGATTCAAAACCACGCCAGTTGACTCAATGACAGGCTGCGAATCGTTTTCTCCACCTCATTCAAAAAAACTCCTGCAACTATTGGGGTGACGTGCTGCACTATGATAATGCTGTGATTTTAAAGAATGTGACCCGATTTGGTTTTTTTACAATCCCCTTCCCACCCTGTCTTCTGAAATCATTTTTAAACTATCGCTCCAGTCATCTATAAATATTGGTGAGTGTCGTACACATGGCAATGAATGCTTACTTGTTCGATACCTCCCGACACCACTTTTTCTTCAAGGAATTAACTTAGCTAACTCACTTTGGTCCTGCTATTGTAATTCTAGATTTTTTAAATATAATACCAAATATAATTCACTTGTGGACACAAAATGTTTCATTATTTTGAGAAAACAAATAATTAATCAACGTTTTCCTACTATCTCTTTTATATTTATCAAATCTACTACTTAGGCCTATATATGATGTAATGAGTACAGCTGTATTTTTGTGACTTGTAGAAAGAGACTAGGACAATAAGTCGACATCTCGACGTTACGATAAAAATAACACGATGATACGACAGAATAAAGTGTCGTATGATTGCGTCAATACTGTCGTGATGTCGTGTTGTCGCGTTATGAAAAGGGCGAGATTTAACATGGCCACTATCAGCCACCATAGTACTAGCTTCATATCTTCACGTAGAAAGTCTATAGCATCTGCCACTGATGAACTTAACGTTTGAACTGCAAGTTTAACATTCATTTTGTGTCTCTGAAAATTGATATGCTTAGCTTTAATTTTATTTACTAAATTTAAGTTGTCACCCATTTGAAGTTTATTTAATTCGACAATATAATTCCAATTGATTGGCATGGAATTATACTTTAAAACACCTAAATCAGCGAAACAGTTTCGGATACATTTCATTAGATGGCAAGCATCAAACATAAAGTAAACTGGTTTTTCTGGAAGGGATGGGTGTGGAAATGTATTTTTCATGTTCGCAGAAAGAACGCATCCTAAAGAGGTTGCAGTAGCTTGATTGGTATACGACCCATCACAAATAACAGAATGCACAGAAAAGCCACACTCATGGAGCAAAATTAAAGCATCCTTTATCAACTGAGCTTGTGTTTCACTAGTCATATGATTCGTTAGATATATCCGATTGGTTAATCCAACAACAAGTAGGACTAAAACTTCTGTTGCTAAAGTGTCTGAAGAATCAACTTGAATATGTCCGTAATTAACAGTTCCAGAATATTTCTTTAATTTTGTATCATATGTATACTCCCGTTTTATAGCCATGCCATCAAACATCAAAACAATGTCTTTCATTTTCTGGTCAGTGGATAATTTCTGTTTAAGGAATGTAAACACTTCTGATAAATAACCCGGTTCACAATTTATGCTAGACGCCCACTTTCTGATTGTAGCTGGATGTGGTAAACATAAAAATTTACGTAGATAGTTGTATGCTTGTGCACTATAAATATGCAAAGTCACAGCAAATGATTTGAGATTTTCAGAATATCGCAAACTATGAGGATGTTTTCCAAGTGAATTTAGTTTATTTTCTAATATCGTAAGGGTGTTTTCGCCGAAGTTTAGATTCAAGAGATCAACATGACTTTGCTGAATCATATTGAGATCTTTCACCTTGTGTAACAAATTTGATATTTTCTCATTTTTTCTTTTCACTTGACGTTTTAAATTCTTGTTCTCATGTACCACAGATTTTAATTTCTCTTTTGTCTTCTGCAAATCAGAATGAACATCAGGGGCTGTCGCTGCATATACATGGTCATCTATTGAAGAAAGTTTTAACTGTTTCTCCGGTTTTGGTGGACAAGGGGGATTGGCTGCTACCCTCTTCAAAGGACGTCGAGTTGTTAGATGAGCAACTTGTTTATGAGTTGGATGGTGTTTGAACAGTGTAGGAATTGCTGAAGACAGAAAAATCTTTCTTCCAACACTTTCTTCAGAGAAATGAAAGTCTGATTGCAGAAAATGGTCACTGCAAACAGTTGAATAATCAGATGGTTGTCACAATTTACCATCTTTTCCCAATCTACTTATATTCCTCGCCCAGTCATATTGATTGGGTCTGCACACTCGGCAGGAATTTCACTAGGCCTAGGCCTACCCTCACGTGAATCATTCGGGTTACTGACAACATTTGTGTAGGCCTACATTAATTAGTGACAGTGACAAACGCTGGATATTTGGTACAGGACGAGGGGTATCCGGTGTGGAAAAATTGCGACCCCACCCCCTCATCACCCCAACCAACAAAAAATGAAAAAGCTAAAAGAGTAAAAGTTTAACGATTATTATTATTCAACACTCGACAACAGAATATAAAGTGAATTTTTTATACTGTTTTTTTGGGAAATCAGGCGCTTGGACCCTCATCTGAAGCATCCACTGACAATTAATGCCTGTAATATTAATAAGTATTAAATACAAATAAAGCAAGAGTGCTGACAATAAATACCCGACGTTGATTGACGTGTTGTTAGAGAAACAGAAAATAGCCTAGATGTTTATTTTACTTTGGACGCTTTTTCTTCAGTTACTTGTAGTCTAACAAATATATATTATAAAATAAAATGTCTAACAAAACTTACGAATGGTAACTTATGGTCGAATCCTTAGAAAAACGGTTGTAACAACCGAAAACACAACACGTTTTCACCATTTTCAGCTGACGCCAAGTTGCCCACTTACTAAACGTAATTGAACTTCCTCTAGTTCTATTTATAACTCTATGGCGACACGCCATGTAGTCTCGGTCACCCAGAACCTTCTAGTCTTCAACATGGGAGATGCTAATTGCAGGCCGGTCCGGGAAGGTACGGAAATTACCGATGACACGATGATTGCCGAATCCATTGACCAATCAGAGTGCCGAATCAATTGACCAATGGGGGGCTTTGTTTTTATTTACTTCGAACGCGTGGGTATAGAGAGAGCCCTTGTTTGGGGAAACGGTTCTTAACTTCTTGTCTACGATCCCACCCAAGGTGGAAGTGGACGTTAAACTCCAGAACGGAAACGGTTCGACCAGCTCGGCATCGAAACACTAAACTACATAGAGAGCTTATACCAGATTAGCAGGATTGTGGAGTAAGGGAGGGTCACGGTTAGACGGAGTAAGGCGAGCTTACGGTAAGACCGTATACGGTAAGACCGGCTTTGCACGTAACTTAACCACTAAACCCACAGATAGAATAACAGGAAGAAGCTTCGGCTCTCCGTCTTGTCTGCTATATCACTTTTTTTAGTGGAAGCAGTCGTTAAAGAACCAATTCCTCCACGGAAATGGCCTTAATAAGTTAATGGATGAGAGAAGTATATTTGTCCGCTTAAATGCAGTCTCTATAAATCAACTACCAAACAATAAATGTGGTTTTTTTTACAAAATGAAAGGAAGAACTTCCCAGTAAACCACTCTATGGAAGGTCGTAAATGGAAAGATTGCAATATCATATTCTGAATATATCAGCCTACAGGAACACGTTTTGGCTCTCAGTCTCAGTCCTAGTCCTAATTCTTGTCTGCGATATCACTGTAGTGGTGCAGGATTGAGGGGCTGACAAAGACAGCTGTCTAGTGATTAGGATGGGACGAGGACCCGTGTATAGATTGGCGTGCAGGTTAAAAATCCCATGACAGTTGGAAATCGATATAAGAGTCGGCTATAGGGCCGCTTCCCGGGCAAAATGCCTGTCTTCTTTATCCCAGTCAGAGCAGAACAGTAGGACGTTAAACCGCATTTCAATTCATTTTATAAAAGAAATAATGAATATAAGCAGCAAGTCACAAGATAATCTTCACATATTTTATTGCAATGTTTCCGACATGGTTTCCCCTTGTCAGTGGTGCAGGACTTAGAGACTGACAAGGGCAGCTCTCTAGTCCTTCGGATGGCACATAAAACCGAGGGCTCGTGTATACATTGACGTGCAGATTAAAAATCCCTTGGCAGTTGGAAATTGATATAAGAGTAGGCCATAGTGCCGCTTCCAGGGCAATATTTCCCTCATATAACTCTGTATGGCGAGCGCATGCCGTCTTCTTTAGCCCATTCTGAGCAGAACCGTAGGACGTTAAACGGCATTTCATTTTATAAAAGAAATAATGAATATAAGCAGCAAGTCACATGATAATCTTCACATATATTATTGTAATGTTTCCGACATGGTTTCCCCTTGTCAGTTGTGCAGGATTGAGGGACTGACCAGGACAGCTGTCTAGTCTTTCGGATGGGACGTAGACCGAGGACTCATGTATACATTGACGTGCAGGTAAAAGATCACTTGGCAGTTGGAGATTTATATAAGAGTAGGCCATAGTGTCACTTCCCGGGAAAAATTTCTCTCCTCGAATTTTGTATGGTGCATGTCCGTCTTCATTAGCCCAGAGTTCCCTGATATGGATGCAGTGCTTACTTTTAGAGACAGTTCTTATTGCTGAGTATTAAAATCCTAGTTACTCAATCATGAGTACCCTAAATCTAAGGTACATTTCAAAGTTCATGTCATTCACTAAATATAATGGCCAAATATACTATACAAAGTGACCTAATATAGAGGGGATAGTGCATGCTTTTGGAGACAGTAATTTTTTTGTACTGGGCTCCATTGCTCTAGGCTGAGGACTAAAATCTTGAGTAACTCGAGTGCTAATTTGCAGCCAATCATCCAGTCAATCAATCAATCAGATTAAAAGACAATAGTCTTACTGCACTTTAATCTTTATCTCAAGGTAACAAATGACAAAGCAAACAACGACCTTCAAGTATCTCATTATTCTATGGCTATTTAATAAAACAAATATATATTTTGTTTTTGGGTCATGCTAACTAAATTACCAGTTATACAATTTAAATATATTATTAAACTATTTGGATTCATTAAGAATTTCATAAAATTATTTTAAAAAAGAAAATAAGGTTAATTAGCTATACTTTTGATTCCTTTTTCAAGTCATCTAACTAAATTACATTAGATATACAGTTAAAGTTGAAGAGCAATTATAATAATTACTCTTCAACTTTCACTGTATATCTAATGTAATTTAGTTAGATGGCTTGGTGGTTAGAACGGCTTGTTACTCATTTATTTATCTTATTAATTTACATTTTGGCGTCAAGAAACAAGTACATTATCATATTCTTGAAATATCAAAAGTAAATAACATAAACATATATGAAGCAAATTTATATAAGCTTTTAGCTTGTTTTTGTATCATATCTTTAAAACTGTAATGTATTATATAATATTTTATGAATAAAATATTGTTTAAAACAAGTCATACAGTGAAAATGTTTGTTTTCGTCACCACTGCTAATCACTTGAAAATTTACCTTGCATGTTATAATTTATAGAAATAAAAGTTCATTTATAGTGAATCAAAGATTATTTTGAGTTTGATATTGAAGGCACTTCAAGGCAGAAAAAAAGGTTGTCTTTTTAATATGTGTGAAAAATGGAATTTTATTTATCTAATGGGTAATGCAATCTGGTTAAAACACAGATCCTATTTCGTTTCATTTTTATAGTTCAAAATTTCGTTTTACTTGTCTTTACTACACTTGGATCTGGAAGAGTTGTTAGTTAACTCGTGTTCTGAATGGTGTCAGGGATAAGCCAATGAAACGGTCTGTTACGGCGAGCTTTAGGCGTGTTTTGCCCGGAACTGTGGGTAATCCACTAGTAACATCAATGCTGATTGGTTAATCAAATGTCTGACGTCATAGGGTCATAAGTCGGTTTTTTGACCCCTGACGTGACCTATAGCTATAACTTGTCAGATCTTCATGTAGAATAGGCCATCGAAAGTATAAAAAAACGAAATAACGATCTGTATTTTAATCAGATTGATGGGTTATGTTAATTAAACATACATTATGCAAGAGCTAAATCTGCCAATTGAAGTTCTTTCTTTAGACCTGAAATGTTATCTAAATTATTAATTATAGACATTAATTAATGTTCCAAAGACTTGTCTCCTTGCTGAAGAAATGATTCGAATTTATCCACGGGGGGAAAAAGTTCAGGCGATAAATTTCAGTAATACTCTTGAAAACAACACAAAATAATAGTTCTAACTCTTTATGTTGATATCAAATTGGAACCGTACACTAAAATCTATCTAACATATGTATTCACATATGGTTCCGAGGAACTAATTACAAACTGAACATAAGTAGCATTCTGAAAGAATAAAATTAACAATTATAAGCCAAATGAAACTCATCAGAAAAACGTAAACACTGATAATAATCTCAATAATGATTGAAGGGAGATAACTCTTGTTCGACTATAGGAGGCAGACCACCATGAATTTCCCCATTGACTTCAATGTTAATTCTGGCCTCTTTGCCCACCTCCAACTTTTCCCCAAATTTTCGTTGGGCTGAATGCTTTCCACTACAGACAGAGGAACAAATGGTCATGTCTTTGCACTAAAATTTGTATGAGGTTGACCACCAAAATTTTGAGATACACAAACTTGAAGAAGCATACTAAAAACATGTAACTAGTTGCCGTACATATCGCCGTAGCTAACCTGATAACCCTCTTATCCTTCCGCCTCAAAATCATGAATATTTACCAAAACCTGGTAGAAAATGTTAATTCAAACCCTCTTCATCCATTCTAGACCAAAAAATCAACACAAATGGGCATGCAAAAGGGGAGAAAAGAGAGAGAGAGAATTGCTATAAATAGACGAACTACAATTTAAGGGTACCGAGATGGTGAAATTTAATGGTGGTCTGCCTCCTAATGACTCATAAACATTCAGCGGTGATTTTAGGTTTTATAATATACATCTACATATTCATAACTAATTTGCTCCTTAGACTATCAAAATCGACAAGAATACCTAGTATATGATCTAACACTAATATCAAAAAGCTGATACATGGCATAACATTGATTTGTATGAATTAATGGCGACTCTTAAACAGTGAATAATGCCTCGATCATCAGCTCACTCACTTTCCATAACAAATAAGTGACAGATAATTGACAAAATACATAATTTATACTATAATATGATTCACTGAATATTAATATAACAATATATTTGTTTGTACCTAAAAGGGTTTTATATCTGAACTACAGAAATCAACATGTCATCAAGAGAAATTGGATGGGCGACTTAGCAGAAAAGATGGTGGCAAAACTCAGTGTAATAGTCATGCGCTTACAAAACCCGTGCAAATTTAGTGACACCTCATTAAAGGGACAATCCTGCGGCTGAGGACAATATCAACTAACACTGAACTATACAATATATTAAACTAATCAAATATTCATAACAATCCTCCCAGGGAAAACCTGGAGTGTCTTAGTAACAATAAAAGTAACTTAAAGCTAAAGCCAATACTACAAACATCACATTGCTTCTAAAATTGGGCAAAATTTTTGAATTTTTGACTTTTTATGCACTTTCACATAACGCAATACACCATCAGATCTCGGACACACCTCAATAATACGCGCAAGTTGCCACTTTCCACGAGACACATTTTGATCTACTAGTAGCACAATATCATTGATCTGTAATTGACGCTCTTTTCTCTGCCACTTAGATCTTCTCATTAAAGTTGGAAAATACTCTTTTACTAATCTAGTAAACGTTCGCGACACAATCGACTGAACAAATTCAAAGCGTTTATGTAAATTCTTGGTTCCTTGAAATGGACCTTGCGGAATTTCTGTAGTTGCTCTCTCAAGAATAAAGTGGTTTGGTGTAATAGGTTTAAAGTCATTCGGATCACTCGAAGAATAAGTAATTGGTCTGCTGTTGACCAAACATTTCACTTCTGCAAACACAGTTGACATTTCATTCCATGTTAATGTCTGCTCTCCAACTGAAATTTTCAGAGCATTTTTTACTTGTTTTATTAAACATAAAACATTGAAATTTTAGAAAGTACACTTCTCTTAGTAAACTGATCAGCAACAATGTCCTTCACAGAAAAACTGATAATGTCAGACTCAGAATTCCAACCAATACCTAATGTTTTTGTATTTGCGTCTCTCTCTCCATCTAAATCAAAATCTAACCTGATGCGGATGAAAAGACAAGACATTTACAAAATATAATAGCCAAATATAACACACAGAGTGATCTAAAATAGTGCTTGCTTTTAGAGACAGTCTTATTGCTCTGAGATAGGATAGGATTTACCAAGTTCCCCAGACACTGCATAATCAATACAGTTTTCACACTGGCGGATATTAACAATACCTAAGACCACTGTGCACCATGCATGACAATCCAGCTTGCACCTGTCGCATTGTTTTCTGTCTTTCTCATACAGGACTCTGAAGCAATAAGGAAAACCTGATACTTTAAGTTCGATGTTGCATATGTTTCTGCCTGTGAACCCTCCATTGACAATAGCTGGAAATGGTTCTATTTTTCTATTTTCAAGGCACGATATCATATGTTTACGGAGCATTTTCTCATTGAAGGTGATCATACCCGGATTCACGCCATTGCATATAGCTGTGGCAATTGCAATTGCAAAGAGGCCACAATCACTTCCATTTGACTGCCTTTGAGTTGGTTTTACAATAATGTCGAATTGACCATTTTTTGGTCGCATGAGCTGGAGCAGACTGTTTTTCACATCATCAACTACTGAAGAATACAAACTGTCATACAGATGAACTTTATTTTCCTGCGTGCAACCAATGTTTGAGACACAAATCCAATGATTGCCACGAGTGTGGAGGATCTGTATGAACTCAGACTGCTCAATTACTGGATCAAACTTGGGTGCTTTCACTGTATCTTGAAAAGAAGAAACCAGTGGGAATTGACGACTGAGGAGCTTCTGGGCAGCTGAAATGTGAATATCTGAAAGCCACTCCTTTTTTTCGAGAATAGTCTTATCTTTTGTTGATAAATGCAAGCCAGTACTTTGGTCATCTATCCACATACTATTTGGGATTGTTTGTTGAGTTGAATATGCAGCAGAATTGGTGGATATAGTTGACAGTTTGGGCGCAGGTACAGTGGATGGCTTTGGCACAGTGACTGTTGATGGTTCTGGCGCAGTGACAGTTGATAGTTTTGGCAAAGTAACAGTTGACAGTTGCGGCAGAGAGACAGTTGACGGGTTTAGTGCACTGACAGTTGATGGTTTTGGCACAGGCACAGTGGCAGTGGACAGTTTTGACAGAGTGACAGTTGACGGTTTTGGCACAATAATAGTGGATGGTTTTGGCGTAGTGACAGTTGACGGTTTTTGCACAGGCACAGTGGACAGTTTGGGCACAGTAACAGTGGACAGTTTTGGCGCAGTGACAGTTGGTAGATTTGGCAAAGTGACAGTTGACAGTTTAGGCATAGTGACAGATGGCGGTTTTGGCATAGTGACAGTTTCGACAAGGACCGGGACTTTGAAATGGTTGCGCATCATTTCGGAGGCTTCACCAGATCTTTTGTGCTGCCAGGGTACCTTGTGTGGAGGTTTGAATCTTCTCAAGGGTTTTATATCTCCTCGATTTCCACATGTTCCAACTGATTGCCTTGATTGTAGTCTCTTTTTTGTCTTCTTTTTGGGGGAATTTAGGAGCAATGTGCCATCAGCAATAGCACCACCTCGTAGCATTCTGCAGATTTCGTTTGCCATATCTGTAGCCTTGTCGAGAAATTCTTTATCATGGCAGAGATAGGCAGCTGTGGTGGCACTTGCCAATGCTGTGCAGCAGTATGCACGTGATTTCTTGATGTTGTTTCTCTTTGGTGAAGGAAGTGGCTTCAATGTGGTGGTAGAGGGTGTAGGTGCATCACTCTCAGTTCCACTGTCTACAGACATGGCACTATCGACTTCCACTTGTTGGTCCTGAGTGTCGTCACATTTATTCTGTTCTTTTTGCTCTGTGATTTCGCAACTTGTTTCTTGTGTTGGACAGGCATCTAAGATAATGAAAGGGCTACACCTGTAAGACTCTGGCAACTTTGAAAAATTCCAAGTCGGATAAAGTCTGAATATCGCCAGAAAATGCTTGCAAGGGTACCTATATTTATCCCAATCAGGGCACTCACAAGATGGCTCTTCAAATCTGACTTGGTACCAAACTGGTGCTCCAGGTTCAGCGTCCATAGAAAGAACCTCAAAAGTTCCGTCATCAGCATTCACAAGGTTCACACCATTCTCTGGCCAATCTCTTGCAGAATTCATTCTCTTCAAGACATGTTTGCTGAAGTGGTGTGGTCTGTCACTCAGATAACAAGGAATGGCTGCAGAATAGTCCTTGTACTCCTGGCTCCAAATCATATTAGTTCTGCAGTATCTCTGGTATGCATCTGGCAGAAACTCTCGTAGTATCACTGTAACCACCCCTGTCAAACTTTTATCGGAATGATGACAGAGATAACTATGTTTCAGAACTTTGTTTTGGGATTCTACTCCATTGTTCGTGTTTAGCACAATATCCAAAGTTCCAACCCGGTGGCACTTCACCAAACGTTTCACTTCTGGTAACCATCTTGATTCCATGTATGTCTGCAAGTATTGATTGTTTTCCCAGAGGGCACTCATTCTGAAAGTTTCTATTGCGGTTTTCATCTCATCCTCTGTCATGGCATTGGCAATACTTCGCATCATTCCCAGGGCCTGTTTTTGGTCAGTAGTTGATAATTGGTTGCAGCTCTTGCTGACCCATCTCTCCCATGATTGATTTATGTGGAAATCACACAGGAACACACGTGCTTCTGGAAATACCTCCCCAACTGCACCAATCTCAGCTAACGAGTAGTCCATCATAAAAAAATTGGGATGAACTTCCGGATTCCAATCTCTAAAAATCCTCAGGGCTTCTGCAATATTTTCAATTGTTTCGTCCTCAATCACAAACTCTCCAATGACAATGTACGAATGATTGGTCTTCACACACAGAAAGAATAAGGGGAGTGCATATTTCATTGTTTTATAGGTTGCATCCAGTAAAACAATCTGTCCATAACGACCAAGTAACCTTCGTTGCCAATCTGTTTGGTGACAATACAGCAAAGTGTTACCACCTTCTTTCTTACTTAAACCATTTTCAACTTTGGTAGTGCTAGGGCGAAACAAGAATCTATCAGTGGTTTCCAACTCCCACTCTTTCACCTTTTCCAAGAAATTTTCCTGATCTACCTTACTGTGCCTATTTAATGATTTCGCAATGTAGATGTGATTTCTGATATTTTTATCAATAGGAAAATATCCCTGATCAGTTATATCAGGCTTCTTTACACTGTCTTTGAACAGAGTTTGTAACACATAGTCACGTATAATATATTTTATTTCCCGAACACTGTCTATCCCTTGAGCCACCAAACCATGAATTTTTGAGACAATATCCGGGTGGACAGGCATTGAAACTGAGTTGGCAGTACTTTCCAGATTGTGATTTCTATGTGCATCTTTCATGGGTGCCAATATGTAATACCGATCTATCGCTCTGGCAGTTCCTTTTGAAATATCTTCTCTCAGTCTGTCAAGCATTTCTTTCTGCCTTAGCTTCCGTTCCCAGTTAGAGATTGAATCATCATTAGCAAATTTATAATTAGGGTATATTTTTATCTTCCTAATTTTGAGGTGTGCTGGGCAGTTCTTCTTGAAGGTTGGTTGAAGAATCATGCGCCTTTTCTGCCGTTTGTCGTACTCCGAATGGTCAGGGCCAATCTGAAAGAAAAGAGTAGACTATAAAATGATAGCCCTAATGTCATTGCTGTTGTTTTTTTCTCAATTCAAACAACATATACTATTCAAAAGAAGTAGGGGATATTTGATTTTGGGGGCATAATACTAAAATATGCAAATGACTACGAAAAAAGTCACTATAGAACCTAACAGAAGAAACATTTCCAGTTACATGTGACGCCCAAACGCACCAATAGCTACCGCATGGAATGCAGGTGATGCTTGGGATCATCATGGGGGTCCAACCCAAGATTTGCACGACTCTGACTTTGAATGTTACAGTCATTGTGGCATTGAATTCCAGGGTGGAAACATCAGTTTAATTGTTTTAGTGACCAGAAAACAAATTTTGATATGCGTCGGCTTACCCAAAATGAAAGGTTACGTGCCCTTGGCATGCTACAGATCGGCACAACACAGGCGGTTGTGGCGCGGACGATGAATGTTTCTCAGTCTGTCATAAGCAGGCTATGGTCCAGATACCGTGATACACAATCTGTACAGGACAGACCACGCTCAGGTCGACCAAGGGCGACAACTCAAGCCCAGGATCGATTTATCCGTACCTTGGCCTTGAGAAATCGTGTCATCACAGCAAATCAGATCAGCGCTCGTCTTCAAACAGACACTGGTGTGAGAGTGAGTGGCCAGACGATTCGGAATCGACTGCATAGGGGTCACCTTCGCGCCCGACGTCCTCGCGTGATCCCTTGTTTGAGAGATCATCACATTCAGGCAAGACGTCGTTGGTGTAGGGATCGTCAACACTGGGATAATCGACGCTGGAGCAATGTGATGTTTTCAGATGAGTCAAGGTTCACTGTTGATTTTTTGGACAGACGTAGGAGGGTGTGGCGTCGTCGAAACGAGCGCTTCCAAGACGTGAACGTCATCAGACATGATCGATTTGGGGGTGGTTCTGTTATGGTGTGGGGAGGCATCACTGTTGCTGGAAGAACGGCTTTACATGTTGTTGCAGGGCGTGTTACAGGCCAGTACTACCGGGACAACATCTTGGCAGTCCCTGTTGTGCCGTTCGCACGACGTCATGGCCGCCGTTTCATCTTCCAGGATGACAACGCAAGATGTCACAGGGCCAGGATCGTTACAGGTTACCTCCAACAACAGAACATCACCACATTACCTTGGCCAGCACTGAGTCCCGACCTCTCCCCCATCGAGCATGTCTGGGACATGCTTGGACAGAGGTTACGTCAACGTCAACAACGTCCTGCCAATGTCCAAGAACTTGCTGCTGCGTTGCAACAGGAATGGGACAATCTGGACCAAAATGACCTTAGACGTCTCATTAGGAGTATGCCACGTCGGATCAATGCTTGTTTGGCAAACAGAGGAGGACTTACCCGTTACTGACTTGGTTGTGATGCTGTGGTAACTTTGCTGTTTGACCCCGGGTATCATTTTACCCTTATAATGGTCAGTCTGTGCCTTACTTAGTCTAACGATCATTTGGAATAAATCGATGAATGTGAACTTCATTTCATTTTGTCATTTGTTTCTTCGTCAGTTTCATTAGGTGACTTTAATAACACTAAATAAAATCAAATATCCCCTACTTTTTTTTGAATAGTATATTTCAAAATGAATTACCAGTAGTGTAAGACTATTGCTAGAATTTTTGCTCTTTAAATTAATGATTGCATTATAATGTATCTTTGATATATAATTGAGTTTACACATTCTATAGAAGTTGTATCTAATGCACTCAAGGAATGAGTGACAGATTATAGAACCAAAACATAGCTGGTTCTATGTGTCAACGAAATATCACTAGATCTCTCACATGACCGGAAAATTATGATTGCATGATTTGGCTTGAGTAACCATTCGTTATAATTAATTACGTCATATTTGACCAATTAGTTAATTGAAGGTCCACAACCCAAAGCTACTTGGAAACTAGTGCTTATTGCGTCTACTTAGCCGAAAACTCAGCAAGTTTTGAAACAATTATGATTTGGTTACGTTTGGCACTCTATCAAACTCTACTCAGTCTATAGATGTACATGTACACCTCACCTTCGTTGCTGTTTCCTTGTCATCGTGTACTTTGTGATGTTCAATACCAAAGAAACATTATTTGCGGTACACAGCTTCGAGTTTAAATGGCACTCCAGTGTACGGAATATGGATGTCACCAACATCACTCTTCCAACGAAGCTTGCCTAAAAAGAATGGAAAGGCATACAGTTCAATATTCTAAAGTAACGGGACCTGTTTACCTGTGGGTTTTTTTAAAAGAATTTTCACGCTTTTAATTGGATGCTGCTCCACTAGTTTGCTTTTGAACTGAGAGTGGCTTCCAAAGAGAAACAAGAGCATTGCTAATGCTGAAACACACGTCCACATTCCTGCTTTGATTGATATTGTACTTTTTAAAATGAAGAATATGAAAAATGAAACGGCGGCAATAACTGTAACTGGAAATAAAAGTTTTAGATGTACCTGACAAAATGTCAGGCACTAATGAAATATTACCTGACATTTTCAAATTAGTGCCGGACATGTATTAATAATATCAATAAAAAAGAAAAATCAGTGTCAGACAAAATGATAGGCACCAGAGGTTTTGTTCCTGACAACGCCTGAATCTGTGCCTGACATTGTCAGTGACAGGTGCCTTATTTCATCCTGACATCATTTAGCCTTTTATGATACATAAGCATGCGGGTACAAGTGTCTAGCGTTAGTGGGAAGATTCCTACTTCCGCAATACATCCAAGGTTGGTTGACTTAAGTGGTTGATCAAAAATGGATTTGCATATTTTTATAGTTAATTGGTTTGGATTAATTTTGTCCACATGTATCCCCCCCCCCCCCTCCCGCATGGTCTCTATCCTCATTTTGACGTATATACATACACATTGGCGTGAATTTTTATTATGAATTAATACAATGACATTGTGATTCAATTTCATGGATGCAAAGCATTAATTGTGATACCACATAATGTCTATATCATTATCTCGTGCTTTGAGTGCCCGTCCTGCCCCACATCTGTCGATAAAGGATAAAGCACACGGCCGAGAAACTTTTCTCATAAAAAGTGTTGATTTACCCCAAAAAAAAAATATGTAGCTGGGACCCCCCCCCCCTCCCAAACCCCGCCTCTGGATCCGCCCCTGTCATCGAAATAACACTGGTACAGTAATTATTTATTTCGTTTGATAATGAAATGTCCGCCCCCCCCCCCCCCCCCCGCCAAAGTTATGACAAATCCACGTCCTTGTTTACAGACCAAATATTAAAAAAAAAATAGGGGGTGTGACACGGCCCCAGGGGGTTGGATCAATGGGAAGGGGTAGTATTAACCACTCACCTTCTTCACTATATCGTTGTTTCTTGGCTGATGAATTCGAATCTCTGTAATGACCGCAGGAAGTTGAAAACTGTTGCCCTGTTTCCGTACGCAAGTCTTTTTCAAACTTCTCCAAATTCTCTAATCCATCAATGTAACCTAAAAAATAATGATAATGACATAAAAGACAGTAATTTTGGTTATATATGAGGGATTTAATATACACGGCAGTCGACGTATTTCGCAATAAAGCTTTTCAAGAATGTGCTATAAATTGTGAGCTTACACTTACATTGATTATTTTATGTAATGATGTATTGTCTTTAAATCCTCAGATTAAAACAAGTTTGCATATATTTAATCAAATACTATTAAACCCATAATATTGTATGGCAGATAAATATGGGGAGCTTTTTATAGTCCTAAGTTCAAAGAAGGTTTCTCTTTAGAAAAAAAAATTTAATGCTATAGAACCTGATAAGCTTCATGTTAAATTTTGTAAATTTCTTTTAGGAATAGGAGTACACAAAAAGAGTTCATATTTTACCGAGCGGAATCTCTCACCCGTATTCCAGCACCCGATTCGAGATCTAGCTAGCAGACATAATTCTCAGCGTACTCCAGCACACCGATTCGAGATCAAGTTGGCAGACATATATCCATATGTTTAGTATTTTTACGGTAATATATCTCGAAACGCCAACATAGGAGCCTTCTGAAATTTTGTTTTCTAGTAGTTTATTCATCTCTTGATTCCGTGAAATAACAAACATTTTCCCACCAAAGCTGGTTTGGGTCGTTTTTTGTCGCAGCGTGGGCGTGCCCGTTGTTTATTGAACCCACAAACTCCGCCTCGAATCCGGATGCCAGGAACTTTGCGGTGGTATAACTCGATACGCCAAGATAGAAAGTTAATGAAATTTGGCATGTTCATGCCTTATGCACCTGTCCAGTTGATGAAATAAAGATATTGAAGCCACCAAAGCTAGTTTAGAAGTCATTGCGTGCGCAGTCAGCCTACCCCAACCCGATTCCCCATATGTTTAGTATGTTTACGGTAATATATCTCGAAACGCCAACATAGGAGCCTTCTGAAATTTTGTATTCTAGTAGTTTATTCATCTCTTGATTTCGTAAAACAAAAAACATTTTCCCACCAAAGCTGGTTTGGGTCGTTTTTTGATGCAGCGTGGGTGTACCCGTTGTTTATTGAACCCACAAACTCCGCCTCGAATCCGGGTGCCAGGAACTTTGCGGTGGTATAACTCGATACGCCAAGATAGAAAGTTAATGAAATTTGGCATGTTCATGCCTTATGCACCTGTCCAGTTGGTGAAATAAAGATATTGAAGCCACCAAAGCTAGTTTAGAAATTATTGCGTGCGCAGTCAGCCTACCCCAACCTGATTCCCCATATGTTTAGTATGTTTACGGTAATATATCTCGAAACGCCAACATAGGAGCCTTCTGAAATTTTGTATTCTAATAGTTTATTCATCCCTTGATTTCGTGAAATAAAAACATTTTCCCACCAAAGCTGGTTTGGGTCGTTTTTTGATGCAGCGTGGGTGTACCCGTTGTTTATTGAACCCACAAACTCCGCCTCGAATCCGGGTGCCAG